TTTTAAGTCAGTATTTTCATTTCTTTCTCCTATATTATATTCTCTCATTTAGATCAAATGAACAAATTTTCCTGTTATGTTTGTGTGTTGCTTGTCCAAGCTGGCTTTCTGCTGCCTGCTAGATAAATGCTATGCGAGGCTTTAAGATGCCCTCCTCTAGGAGGACCAAAGGAAAGATGGCATCTAAAGAAGACGGCAAGTATGACTAACTTGGCCTAATCGTTTATTCAAATGCAGTTTGAATTGTTTGTTCCTCTGGGGTGATATTTTATTATGACTTTGCAGCCAAAAAATACAAGAAATGAACCTATTTTAAGAAAGTAATGCCCAAGGGAACCCTGTACACTGTAAATTGGTGCAGCCACTGTGGAAAATAGTATGGAGGTTCCTCAAAAATCTAAAAAATAGAACTACCTTATGACCCAGCAATCCCACTCCTGTGTATATATCCAAAGAAAATGAAAATGCTAATTCAAAAAGATACATGCACCCCAATGTTCATAGCAGCATTATTTACAATAGTCAAGATATGGAAGCAACCTAAGTGTCCATCAACAGATGAATGGATAAAGAAGATGTGATATATATACACATACATATATATCTCATTATATATATATAATGGGATACTACTCAGCCATAGAAAAAAATGAAATTTTGCCATTTGCAGCAAAATGGATAGGCTTGGAGGGTATTATGCTTAGTGAGATAAGTCAGACAGAGAAAGACAAATTATGTTATCACTTATATGTGGACTCTAAAAAATACAACAAACTAGTGAACATAACAGAAAAGGAAGAAACTGACTTACAGATATAGAGAACTAATGGTTACTAATGGGGAGAGGACAGGGAAGGGGAGAGGACAGGGAAGTGGTGAGGGGCAAGACAGAGGTAGGAGATTAAGAGGTACAAACTACTCTGTATAAAATAAATAAGCTACAAGGATATATTGTACAACACAGGAAATATAGCCAATATTTTATAATAACTATATAAATAGAGTATAACCTTTAAAAATTATGAATCACTATGTGGTACATCTGAAACATATAATATTATACACCAGCTATACCTCAACAATAAATAAATAAATTTTTAAAAAGAAAAAAAATAAAGTAATGCCTATTTCTAGCATTTTCATTATTCATGGAACAAAAATATATTGGTTCATCCCTGTCCATATACAAATACAGCATATCAAGGAATTCTGTGCCAGTGTACAAAACTGATGCTAATGACTCGCCATGTTAATTGTCTGCTCTGTGTTGGGCATCCTGCCAGGTGCTAGGAGTGCAGGAGGAATAAAACCCAGACCCTTCACAAAGAATTTACAGTTGGCTAGGGAGATAGACCCATACTTTCAAGCTATTTTCCCAGGAGTGGTAAGGGGTTTGTGCAGTCCTCTGCTTTCTCTTAACCAGGTGGCTGCTTAGAAAGGCAGCTGTGGTCAAAGAGGTTTTCCAAGAGAAGCTCTACCCTATAAGTATCACAGTATTAAATATACAATCTGTGTCAAGCAGTGAAGCATTTGGACATGTGCAATATCTATTTTAAATAGAAATGAAGTTTTGTGTTTATGTCACTTAAACATTCTTCAGTTCACTCCATGATGCCTCTAACTATTGGAATAACCATAGAAGATTCATCAAGTAAGTTGTAAGAAGAGGCAGCCAGGTACAACAGAATGTCCTTATAAAAGGAGAAACTCCCAATGCCATTCTACCCACAAAATGCTGCCTATTTGTTTTTTCTAAAACATTCTAATTTTCTTTCTTTTTTTAATTAATTAATTTATTTTTGGCTGTGTTGGGTCTTCATTGCTGCACGTGGGCTTTCTCTAGTTGCGGTGAGCAGGGGCTACTCTTCATTGTGGTGTGTGGGCTTCTCATTGCTGTGGCTTCTCTTGTTGCGGAGCACGGGCTCTAGGTGCACGGGCTTCAGCAGTTGTGGCTCACGGGCTTAGTTACTCCACGGCATGTGGGATCTTCCCGGACCAGGGCTCGAACCCATGTCCCCTGCATTGGCAGGCGGATTCTTAACCACTGCACCACCAGGGAAGCCCCATTTTTTTTTTTTTTTTTTTTAAAGGATATCTCCCCTAGAGATGTTTAAAAAAACTGTCATTTTGCTTCTGAGGTATTTGCAAGCCTTGCCTCTTTGGTTTTTTTACGTCATAAGCATCCTGAATAAAATAACATACCGTAGCTCACAGGGAGAGACTTTGCATCTCTGCAGGACAAGTGTAATCTGAAAAGCTTCGAGGCACACACATAAAATTTTAACATTAAAAGTTGTAACAAGAGTTTTTCCTATATTTAAAAAATCCACACTGAAACAAAGTCAATTAAATTTTATTACAACCAAGAATATAAAATAAATGCAATGTACTTTATTTTTGTCTTAACAGTCATTTCAGAAAGGATGTCAGGACAACTCAAAAGCGGGAAACACTCGGCTCCAAAGCAGCAGCTCATCCTGCACCCCGCGGAGCAAGCCTCGCTGGAAGGCGGGGTGCAGGGGCGGGGGGCAGCTGGCTCTGAGTGCACACCTCGCAGCAGTGTGTGGAAAGCACACACAGTCATGTCTATAATCGTATAAAGAGGGACGCGTGCAGAAAATGACTGAAAAAAGAGACAACGACAGGTACACTTCACAAATAGGAATTATGGGAAATACAAACTAGGCAGTTTAGAGAGGATATACTACATAACATATATAAAAAGTACTTTAAATTGTTAAAAAGGACATCTTCAGTCCAGATTTTGTGTAATACTTTTAGTGTCTACACAGACAAATCTTTAAAAAAATTAAATAGTATTAATTTACTAAATATTTAAGAGATAACAGTGCATTAAGGATTTTTTTTTTTCATATAATACATACATATCACTCCTTTGCAGTGATAGCACAGAAGAGTAAGTATGGCCTTAGGTACAACACATTTTAAAAAAATCCTAAAACAGTGAACTTTGCTTTATGATATTTGTGACTATTCTTGAAGATTAAGGAAACCTAAACAGCTATGTTTTATATAAAATATTATTTATACTTGAATCCTTCAAGCCTCCTTTAGTCTAACTGCCATTTCACTGCCTTTCTCCATTCCCCAGAAAGATAACACCATAGAGGTTAGGATTCATAGTTTTCATAGAATATTCCTTCATTGTATAGTTTCTGTTACATACAATTATTCAAAGCAGATTAAGCTGCAAGTCTTATCGTCCAACTATTTTTTCTTTTATCTTTAGCAGAGAAAACAGCATCCTTTTAGAGGCATACAACTAGCAGGCGCTCCACCAGGAATGAGGCAGTGAACACGTAAGCAAATGCCATCCCTTTCCATTCTTAAATGTAAATTGCTTTTACAAGAGCGAAGAGTAGTGCAGAAGGTCAAAGTTCTAAGTACTAAAGTTTTAAAACCACACAGATATAAAAATATACATGTCCTTGGTTTTTGTATGTTACTGCATGATCTACTTCATCATAAGGATTGTTTCAGCCTCATCGTAACAGTCCTGCCACCAGGCTACCTTACCCTTGACTCAGCTGTCCTGAAACCCTAGAATCCCTTTTCCCAAACTCACAACTTACCAGAAAGCTAACTCAAAAACTGACTTGTAGAAGACCTTCACTTTGATTCCTTCCTTCCTTCCCATAACCTCCCCTGGTTTGGAAGTCCACCCTGCATTCTCAGGGGACATTGATGGTAATAAATTTTTAAAGAGGAATGGGGTCATTTGGGGGCCAAAAAGGTAAATTTTAACCTCAAAAAGCTTCACAGGTCTCCTTCGAGGTCCCACAGTTTTAGGGCCCATAAGTATGTCAAAGGCTTTGTTCCCCTTTACAAGGAAAAGGAAATTATGAACCAAAATTATTTCAAAGGGTAATGAGCACCAGTGGGCATCACCAACTCTCAAGCAAGAGCACAGGAGGAAAGGGCCAGTACCAGTGCAGTGACCAGAAACCCAGTCACACGTGTAATTGGCGTATCTGGCTAGATCCTGTGTGGAGAACACCGGGAGCAACTGAAAAAATCCCCTCACGGTTTCTGTATCAGTTCTACTGCTAAAATTCACTACATACAAGGAAAGCAGGGTAGTCCCGTGATCATATAAGTGCATATATCACAAGGATTTATATCAAAGTTGCTTATAAAGTATTAAGGGGCGTGATATTTTGGTTCATGCACATATTTGGGTTCGTCTTTTACTAAATGAAAGCTCTCCTTGAGGGCAGGAACAGAGCTTCTATTTTCATTGTAATTTCCTACAAACACTTAGTTGTGTTCTGCCTACAAGGGACACCCAACTGTTGTTGAAAGGCTGCTGTGAACATTTCAAATATATATTAATGCCTGTGGTGATATTAATTGCTGGCTTTCTTGAAGGTAGATAAACATAGAAACCTCTCCATGACACTTGTTTTTACAGAGCAAAATTTGGAATAATAACTCTCTCCAAGTGGGTTTAGAAGTAAATGAATAGACCTTCATGTTCTAAGATGGTTTCATTTATAAGTCTGTCATCCCAGGAAAGCTTCCTGTCATGGAATCAATCATAAGCTCTTCAAGGACAGGAAGTATGTCTTGCCCTTTGTGTCTCACCCCCCAGCATAATGCTGGGCATGAGGTGAGGGTGCAGTGAGCATCTGATGACAGTGAGGCTTCAGGTCACAGGACAGAACTTTACTTGGGTAGCTACATTATGCAGAGGGCTACTAATTTCTCATTTGCAAAAATGGAAGGGGTAAATTACTATGGAGACAATCAGAAATTCCTTCCAGTGGAGCATGTCAACAGTTTCATCTTCAGTGTTGATGAGTGTCACTGTATAGTCTTTGTTATTAATAAGCATTATTATGCTGAGATCAGTAAGGTCCTTGCTGGCTACAGGATCACATCAATAGTGCAAAATGTATACTGGCTTCTGTCTAAAACTTATTTTACTTGTATATGGACCCAGAGTATCATAACCAGGTAGATAAGTTCACAAAGAAGAGTTAAAAAATGCATATAACTTGCATATACAATAATCAGCTATTTCTTCTAGCTCAAGAAAACATTAAAACGAGGCTGGTTCTGCTAGTAGCATTTAGAAGAACACAAGTTTCTTGCCCCTTACATTACAATGGGAACTCTAAGTCTTTACATTTCCTTGTGACTCTGCTGAGCGTCTTTCGCTGGCTAAGAAAGAGCTCAGCCTCTAAGTCATAGATCACAGAAATGCAAATAGCACTTATCTAATAGGTCGTATACTATCTGCCCATAGTTTAGGCACAATTATTAAGTTTTCTCCTAGGGGCAAAAGAAAGCATTCAGTGCAATGAAAAGATTCTTGATAGAATTAAGTTTCAGTAAGAACAGCAAAATTATGCATACATAATACATACTTTAAACATGAACAAAACCTAAATTTTTAACATGCTTTAAAAATAGTCACTCTATGTCTAATGCAAAATACGAATGGAGAACACTGCTCTTTATTTTAAAAGCAGATTAATTTGCAGGCTTCTATTTGAGTACCCTTGATTATGTAAGAAAGTTACTCAAACTGACCCAGATGTGAAGAAACCAACAGTTCTTTAGAGAAGCCAACTTTATGTACAATACACACTAAAAGCTTTCCCTTCCCTTTGATCAACATTACTCCTTAAAGAAATCCTAGTGCAGTTAATACTCTCTTCAGTTTTCTGGTGTGGGTCACCAGAGGACTGTATTTCATCAAAGCTCTTGAAACCCTTTTTAAAGTAGATGTAAGCTACATGAAGGTTAAAATTATAATTCTTAATTACTGGATACTATTCAGAATAAGATGATTCTGGGAACTAAGTTCCACATGAATGGTTATATAAAAATTACCACATACTTTAGTTCTTCATAGCATAAAGCATAGTAACTGCAAAGATCTAGGCTGTTTTTGGTTGCAGGTTCCCTCTGTATCACCACTTGTCTTTTTATTAGACCTTCCCTGAAACTAGAGAAATAAAAACGTAATAGTAAAGTACTGTGGGACAGCAACAGTTCCCATTTAAGACTTCCATGAGCAAAAGAGTTATATTCTGTGAAAACAACATAGTGCTTTAAAAGGTGCATATTTGCCTGTTTTGCTAGATCAGTTCATGAAGTACAAAACTATACACCACTGGAATCCTGTTTCTAAAACATTAAAATCCTAGTAAAAGGGCTTTGAAAAGATAAATCATAGAGATTGCTACAGCATGAGAAAGGTGCACCAGGAAATCCTCCCCCAAAATGCTCAAGGTTACAGAAGTTAAGTGCTGGGATTAGATCAGATGCTTTATCAGAGAAGTCACAATGGAACACATGCAGGGAAAGGGTGCTGGGGAAACTTCACAAAAATTTTCTTTAAGTCAATAAAGACATCAGTCAGTCCTGCAAAATGCTCCGTAAATAGTTTTCCTCCTAAGTGGACGAGTTTTGAACAGCATCAGAGTTTGCATTTTTGGTTCTCTTCAATGCAGACGTCATATTGCTGGAGTCTGTGCTCTGGCTGTAGCGGGTCAGTAACGGTGGGCCTGGTGAGATGGGTGGTACTGTGCGCTCTGCTGAGATGAGGAGGAATAGCCTAGTGAGCTCTGGGACTGAGAGGATCCCTGAACACTGCTTTGGTAATTCAGGCGCGAACTGGAGTGCTAGGAGAAGGAAACAGGAAAAGGGAGTGACTGATGGAGGAAGGGAACAGCTCAAGATGCTAATCACAACAGGACGGAGAGATGAGCCATTCTCATCAGAGGCTCCGGGTTCTGACCCATCGTAGCGACAGTTAATTTAGTTTGTTAATACATTTTGCTGACTTGACATCACAGCCTGCCACCACTGTTCTGGCATGCACGAAAGTTGGCTGGATTTCTTTGGGAGATAAGCTACACTGGCAATGAAAGGTAGAGGGGAAACAGGCTAATTCTGGTTAGTTTTTCTTTGCATAACTGAGATTTGCAAACAGGAATAATCAGTTTGGCATATTGAATCGGTGGTGTTCATAATGTATACTGACGTGCTGTTAGTTTTCTCATTATAAATAACAAAGTTGTTGTGATTAAGAAATCATCTTGTAGAGAAAAGAGTTTTCAGAGGGAGAGGCCAGAGTGGCTTCAGCAGCATCACCTACATGACAGAGCCAGGCAAGGCTGGGTAGGGGTGGCAGCAATAAGTGCTTTTTATAAACTTCAGGTGACATTTATTTTTAAAATTTATTTATTTATTTATTTGGCCACACAGGACCTTAGTTGCAGCACCCGGGATCTCTAGTTGTGGCATGAGGGATCTAGTTCCCTGACCAGGGATCGAACCCAGGCCCCCTGCATTGGGAGCGTGGAGTCTTAGCCACTGGACCACCGGAGAAGTCCTTCAGGTAACATTTAGAATTTTAAAAAATTTCATATGTGAAAATTCTCTCAAGAGAAGGCTGAGACAAATGTATTTCAGTTCAATGTATTTTTATTACCTTAAGTGAAACATTCATCTTCATAGTACCAAGGGCAAATATGAAAAAAATATGTAAAAGAAAAATTCACCTATAGAATAAGAACATGGTGCCTGGTTAAATATAAGCATAGCTGGAACCAGTGTCTTTGGCTATGCCCAGAAGGCTGGTTCTTCCTGTGAGCGAAGTGGGAAAGATCATGTGTAATAAAGCTATTACTTGGAGCTAAAAATGTAAATGACCTTGAGGTGGCACTGGCGGTTTGTGAAAGGACAAATAAGCAAGCGTGCCCCACTCAGCGCACAAGAGGCAGCCAAGCTGGACTTGCAACATCGGGTCCAAGACAACAGAGCAATAAGATAGTCTTGGTTAAAAATAATCTCGCTTAACTCCTTCCTGTGTTACACAACTCTGACGAGTTGTGTTGTTGTAAGAAGCCTTTCCAGATTCTAACTATGTTTTATTGTCAGTTTATTATGGAAAAAAAAAAAGTCCTTTCCATTCACAAGGCCTACAGTTGCTGAGCTGGCTACGACTGCTTTCACTTTAGCTGATTAGACTCAGCATAATAGCTCCTCCATACTGGATAAAGAACAAATGTGTTGATAATATGAGAGTTGCAGACAGGTGCAATGGGACTCCCTCACCCCTCATGCTAGTCTTTCCAACTAACTAGCTGAGAAAGCTACCCATTTCACAGATATGCTATTTTATTTTTAAGTAGACAGCTCAGTATGGACAAAGAAAAGCATTTGAAGAACTCCTGGATTTGAAAGGAATAAATACAAGAGCTAAGTAATCTGTCCATGATCGACTATAATCAGGTTAATATAACACAATCAGAGACACAAAGATGAGCCAGTATACAGTAAAGGTTTGTTGCTCATATAATAAGAATAAACTAATGTGAGGGGGAAAACTGACTTTATAGTAAAATTCAAATATGTTCATGACTACTACCCAAATAGCAAGCTGTTTTTAGCAGATCAAACTGATGCCTTGATTACTTTAATTGGAACCAATGGAAGTGCTACTATATACTCCTCTGCTTGCAGGGAATCTTCCAAGATAAGTTCTCAAAGTAGCTGTGCTGAGATATTCAGAATGTAAGGCCAGTCAGACAGCTATTTATTATGTCTTTCTTGTTAATGTTTCTCTTGTTTCCAGTTCCTAATCGGTGAGTTTATGTCTTCCTTGCCCGTGGTTTTGTTTTCTGTTTTCTATCCTGTGTGTTTCTTCTCCACCAGTTCCCTGAGGGACTGTGGTTCTAAACCTTTTTTTTTAACCTTTAAATTCCCTTCCCTTCTTAGATCTTTTCTTACCTTGTTACTACCTTGAAAACTTTTTTTTCTCCCAAGAATCCCTACAGTTTTCACCAGTATTTTTACCTCTTGCTCCAAATACCAATCCTTAGACTTTTTTCCTTTAATTTCCTGAATTGGTAATACCTTTAATTTCCTGAATTGGTAATACAATTGTAGTTTTCTTTTAAATCTTAATAACAAAATGTATTTTCTAGTCTCAAAATTATTTCTAGTGAGATTTAACAGTTATTCCGGAGAAGTCTCAATCTTAGTCCCTTTCTCTTCTATGTTTATGTGGCTACTTACTGATTATTTCCTCCCAGTGATGGCAGATCCTTCTGAAGTATGCTGCTTACTTTTTTCAAAATAAGCCGCCATTCCTCTCCCTTTTCAATTGCTTATCTATCTAGGTGTCTTTTTCTGACCCAAACCTGATAGGCAGCTGTAAGGGTAAATGAGACATTTTCTTTGAGGAGGAGCTGCGTGCCTCACCTTCCCTCCTCAGGGTTTTAGGATAATCAAATCAAGAAACAAAATATCTTGCAATTACATGAAATGACAAAAATCTTCATTTTCATATAACGCCCTAGAAACAGGATTGTACAGTTTGTATAGTCAGACTTTAGAGTTAAGTACCACTTAATTCTAAAAGGATCTACTATAAGTCTACTTCCCATTTTATAAAATGTATTGTTAAAAAAGAGACAACAGGCTCAAAATGGAGTCACTTGTGCTAAGCCCATATCACCAAATTGAGACAGTGCCTAACCTAACTGCAGTTTCAGCCCCTCCCAGGAATGTACTCCTCCCCAGTCAGTCTGGAATCTCCTAGTCAGCACTAGAGAAGTAATCTACTTGGTAGACTCCTGTAGTCCCCAAAGGAAGGTTCCCCGGGCCTGAAACAATCAGCTCTCTGTTAGTGTCCTTGTCCCACCTCCTTCTGCCTATAAACGTCTTCCATTTTGTACAGCCCTTCAGAGCTTCTCTGTATTTGCTAGGGGAGATGCTACCTGACACATGAATCACTGAATATAGCCAATAAGACCATTAAAATTTACTCAGTTGCATTTAGTTTTTTAACAGTATATGAAAATTAAAAAGTACAAAATTCAGGGGAGTACCTGATAATCTGACGGCATTACAGGCCCGCCTGAGTTTGTGCCTGAAGGCCCTAGCCGCGGTTTCTTGTTTGGAGGCACCTGATTAAGGCCGGAGTCCTGACTGTGCTGCAGCCCTGCTCCGGCAGCCCCGGGCCCTGCCCCGGCCCCTCCTGCAGTCCCGTTGGCCTGGGTGCTGTTCTGCTGCTGCGGGGCTGCCTGTGGAGGGGCTGCTGCCTGCTGCGGCGGGGCTGCGGGCTGCGGATGTTGGTTCTGCTGCTGTTGCTGATTCTTGTAGAGAGGAAAAAAAAGCAAGCTTGCTGTGGAACTAAATTACATCTTCCATGACACGATATGCACATGAGACTGCTGACCAACCTGGGGAGGGACCTCTGTGGGACACCAAAGTGACTGGAATGACCAGAGAATGGAGCAGCCAGGGAATACAGCAGCTCCGGAAGTCAAGGTATTGAGCCCCGAACAGGACCCGTTCTCTGAAGTTCATTTAGATTGCACAGTAACCCTCCAAATCAGTCACAGACATCCCACTGAAGAGCACAGGCACACAGGAAATAGCAACTCATTAAAACAGCTATAATAGTCTTTTCAATCAATTTGTAAAAGTAGGGCTGTGTGGGGAGGAGTCAACTGCAATCAAAGAATAGAGTGATGCTTTAAAAGCAGCCGCTGCATAAAGCGACGGTAATGACATGAACAAACAGAAAGCAAGAATTAAGAATCAGGGAATAAAATAGGCAACAAAACAAATCAGGAAGTTCATTTATCTGTGAATGCATATTTCAAATCGCAAAGTACATCTACAATAAAGTAAATACATAATTAAATAAAAGGTGGTTAAATATATAGGAATTATTAAATTATCCATTGCTAAGTGCAGTTTATACCTTGTCACCTTTCTCTTCAGGTTCATCTTCATTAAGGAATTCTCGTTTGGGGTATGGAATCTGGCAGCCAGCAAACACACTAAAAACCATGAAAAGAAAAAAAAAAGAATTCATGTCATGACGTAAAATCTACAATATCACTGACCTTGTTCATTTAAAATTCTACTTTTTTTTCTTAAAAAAATTATTTTTCTTAAAAAAATTCCACTTTTTTTTCCTACTCTTCATCTGTGGCTGGTTATGCCTCTCAACACAATTTAAGCAATAAGAAAAGAACAATTTGTCATCTAAGTTTTACACTAATTGCCACTTTCAATAACAAATCTTGACTGTGGTTAGCTAGTTGACATATATGACATAGAAATTTCTCCACACAAACTTCATCAGCACTAAAAACAACTGAATGTGTATTTGCTTCAACAGTGAAAATAATTTTCTCAAGAAAAGCTGCACCTCTAAGAAATCCAAGCACAATTTATATATGTGGGTGTAACAAGGATGAGGAAATGGAGGAGTCTGGTTGTACAGTAGACACACAGAATTTTAAAATCTCAGTTCCCTACTGATTTGGTGTGAACTGTTCTGGCTGACCCATCTATAAAAGTCCCATCTGTTCTCAGCTTTAGTTTTTATCTGTAAAACGGATTAATGGTCATTCCTAAAATACTTGTTTTCATTCACACCTCTCTACAGCTTTGCCTGTTTCAAAATACAGGACCTCTCTCTTGACTAGTTTTTCTCTGCGGCAGTATTAACAAAGAAAGTAAAATACTTCAGTAACAAGTGCTTCTCTTGCTTTCAGCCACTATCCAACATCCTCAGCCTGGAGCAAAGCACACAGAAAAGGAAGGATACATACTCTAATGTCGGCAAGGGGTCCTCCTGAAAATAGGGATCCTGCAGAGCCTGCTCTGAGGTAATTCTCTTGGTTGGATCCATAGTAAGGAGTTTCTGAAGCTTGAATAACACATAAGAAATTAACAGCACATGAAAAGTTTGTTTCCAAGTCAATGTTTTGAGTTTTGTGTTAATGTCTAATAGAATTAATATCAAATGCCATTTTGTATAGCTCACCACAATATTAATACACTAGACACATTTATGTGAGACTAGCAGAAATCATTAGCATTAGAGCCCTTTTAGAATTTAAAATTTTCTCTGCTGATAAACCACTGGACAAGGCTAAAAGTCAAGGGTGACATCTCAAAAGAGAAAGATTTAATTTTGCCCAGCATCCACCAATTTCCTTTCTTTCTAAAGAGGAGGAAGAGCTGGGACAATTCCGTGGTAAGCAGGGTGGGGTGAGGGCTGTGCTAAAGGATCCAAGTTCCCAGTCTGGGAGAGATGCACCTACCAAGAGGAACACTTTGCTGTCAGGCTTGACCTTGTGTTTCTCCATATACTTTATGAGGCTACTGTTGGCGTACCTGTAGACGTGAGAATCACACACTATTAAGAACACTCACACAATTTACAATCTTTAATGGAAAGTTCCAAGATTGGTTTTCCTATATGGTATGTGTTAAGTTAAGCCATTGTTTTTTCTGATTAAAAAGGAACACATAACCAAATGTTGATAAATGTGTGAAGAAATAAGAATTGTTACACACAGCATGTAGGAGTTTATATTGTTACAATTACTTTGTAAGATAATGACTCATGAACTATAAGAGTTGAAAATGTGAGTATCCTGTGACCCAGCAATTCCTTTCCTAGGTACATACTCTATATCAGGGTATCAACCCCTCAGGCTGAAGGGTGAGTAAATGGGTATTACTCATTTTATTATTCTAAATAGACTACATATTTTCATCATATATATTCTTTCCTATATATGAAATACTTCAAATTAAAAAGGTAAAAAAATAGGTAATATATGTTCATGGTAGAAAATTTAGAGAATATAGAAAAGCATAAAGAAAAAAATTGAAATCACTCAATCAACCTAGCAGCAATTAAAAAACACTGTCATCAAGATTTTGATAATTTTCTTTTGTCCTTTTTTCATGCATATATATGATACAAACACAGAGGCATTTTTGTCTTTATAAAATTAGAATCATACTATATAAATTGTGCTAACTTTTTTCACTTAATATTGTTTCATAAACATTTTTCCTTGCCAAATGCTGTTTAAACCTATTATTTGTACTGAATGTATATTTTCTACTGTTACTAATGATGTTTGTTTCACAACAGTTGTAAAACGCAGGTTCTTGAAGGTCAATCTAGTACACACGTAGGGAGACAATACTGCATGGCAGGTGAGAATCAGAGACCCCTACCAGACCCTGGCACAATCATTTACCAATTGTGTGATCTTGGGCAGTTAGTTAACCTCTAGGAAAGCCTTAGGTGCCTCATCTTAGCTATGTGTGGCTGCTTTGATTGCCTTCTCAGGATAAATTCTTAGAATTATTAGGTCAAAGGGTATGTACATTTCAAAGCCTTCTTGCTACACAAACCTGGCCCTCAGACCAGAAGCATGGGCACCAGAGAGCCTGCAGTTGGAATGCATGTACTCAGGCCCTATCCCAGATTCTGAATCACAATCTGCATTTTTAACAAGGTCTCCATGTGATTTGTAGGTACATTAAAGTTTGAGAAGCATTCATTCTCACCAGTAGCATATAAGTAAGCATGCCCATTTATTATATTACCCTTGCCAACACTAGGTATTTTTATTTTAAAAAATCTTTGCCATGTATATTAATTTAACAATTATTTTCCTCCAATACCAGGGACATTTTTATTGGCAAGGTAGCCATTAAGTTTGGTAATGGAAAGAAACTTTTAAGTTTATGTAGAAATGGAGTCTGTCAACATGGCTTTAGTCTTTATGTTGAATCAACTGATTTCTTGGGTTAACTCCAGATTCTAGGTTATTTGTTTCTATCATAATATAAAAGGTCTTGAAGTTGAGAAATCCTATTGCTCAATTCCCTTTGTGGTTTCTTATTTTTCCTAGTATTAAAGCTAAGATAAATTCTTTGTCATTTTCTGAATTATCATCTTCCAGATTTGCTACAGTTTAAGAGCTGAACAGTTTTCAAAGTGACTCAAACTTTTTATATACATTATAAAGCATTTTATCAGACCATGTTTATTCAAACATTCAATTTTTAAAGTCAACTTACCTATTTCATTTTAATTCTGTTTTCACCTTGCCTTCTAATGAGCTAATATGAGCTGACATTGGAAAGATTACAGCAACTTCTGTTGTTATCCTTCACAATTCACTTTAAGGGTAATTTTTTTGGTTCTTTTTATCTAATATAAACAAGTTATTATTCGTTTACTTTTTATGTCATCTGATATAACATTTTCTGGAATTTTTTTCTTTATTATACTTTAGTGACATGTATGTATTATATTAGATTTAGCTAATTTTTAATAAATTCCTTCTTGTCTTATGCATCAGTAGCCTGATTTTATGTGGATAAAATTGTCTGCTTAGGAAGTATGGCTCTTATCTCTGAACTTTTCCTATTACCTTTCTAACTGAATTTCAGTTATCTTTTAAAATTTCTTTCCTTTTATCTCTGGTTATTGTAAATACTATCATTTTATGTAAAATTCTTCCTCTGGCCTTTAAATACTAAGATAAAATATTAAGTGCCTTCATTAATTTTCTCTATCTTTTATATTACTAGTGTATCTTCAATGATCTGAACCACTTTTTTTTTTTTTTTTGCGGTACGCGGGCCTCTCACTGTTGCAGCCTCTCCCGTTGTGGAGCACAGGCTCCGGACGCGCAGGCTCAGCGGCCATGGCTCACGGGCCCAGCCACTCAGCGGCATGTGGGATCTTCCAGGACCGGGGCACGAACCCGTGTCCCCTGCATCGGCAGGCAGACTCTCAACCACTGTGCCACCAGGGAAGCCCGAACCACTTTCATTTAATACCCATTTGACAAGTAAATAATGAGACTGCACTATGTACCAGGCCCTGGGGATACCTATAATGGTGTATAAAATAGGCACCATCCATATTCTAGAGGGAAAGATGGTAACTGTTCAAAAGCCAACTGCAGAGCAAAGTGATCAGTGCCAAGAGAAGCAGCACAGGATATGCTATGGGCGTACAGAGGGGAAGCACCTAACTCACTCAGACTAGAAGGTCAAGGGGAAATCTCGTCAGGATAGAAAGGATAAATAAAGGAGTTAATCAGATGAAATAGGTGGGAGGAAAGTATATCCCAGACTGAAGGAACAGCATGTGTAAAAATCCAGAGGTCAAAGAAAACTTAGGGGTTTTGAGGCTCTTAAAGAAATTCATGATGTCTAGGCTATAGAGTACAGAGTGGACAGAGGTTTAGGAGATGAACTTGGTGATGTAGAAGCCAAGGCTCTGTAAGCTATATTAAGAAATTGAGAGCAACTTGAAGACTGACATGATCAAATGTGCTTCTGGCAATGACTGCAGTACAGACAGTGAGGTGGAGTGAAGACTGAAGGTAGAAATCACGTAGGAGGCCGCTGCAGGATTCCAGGCGAGAGACAGTGGTGGTCTGGCCTACAACAGTGGAAGGGTAGATGGAGAGAAATACAAAGATCCAAAGGATATTTAGAACAAAGAATTTACTAGATTTGCTAATTGTTTAGACACTGGGGGGGTAAAACGGAAGACAGTGAGACAGAAGAAGGATCAGGGATATCTCTCAGGTCTTTGGCTTGAACAATCAGCTGAATCGTGGAGCTATTTCCTAAGATGAGAAATATAGTGGGAGGAGAGGTTTAGGAGGACAGATGATGAGTTCAGTTTTGGACATGTATTTTGAAGTATTTATGGGACATTCAAGTTGGAATTCCATAAGGCAATTAGATAAATGGGTGTGAAACTTGGGAAAGAGATCTGAGTAGGATGTATAAACTGGGAGCTATCAGCATAACTGATGGTACATTGTGGCCATCAAAATCATGGAGACTGCCTGGGGAAATGTCTAGAGTGAGAAGAGAGCCCAATTCAGACCCTTGAGCAATGTCAGTGCTCTCTCTAAGGGATGAAAAGAGGCAAGGACCCTACCAAGGACTGTGTAAAAGAGAGGCCCAAAATGATTAGTGCCGTTCTCTGCTTCTCTTTATGATGTCTGCTTTTGTTCCTACAAGCCATCCTGTCCTGAAATTTTTCTGTTAAGTTGCCCAAGAGAGAACCTCTTCCATCTTTTCCTCTAGGTGTGCACATTTATAACAAACTCCTCTCACTTCTACTCAGCATACATGTCCCCACCAGTCTGTTTTACTCAAATCCCAGGCCATGTGTTCTTCCTCCTGCCACCCTTCCTGGTTGCCTAGCCCAGCATTTCAGTCACCAGTCATTAGCTAGATAAAGACAAAATCATAGTTGTGGCCTTGAACTGAGCCTTTATCAAGCTAAAACAGAAGAGACATTTGAACTATCTACTGGCCCTTAAATTCTTAAAAGTTTTTAAATACTACAGCCTAAGCCTGGCATATATGTTAACAACATCTGGAATATCTTCTTTAAATCATAAATGTAATTAATACACTAAAATCTAAGTTTCTGGTTTAAATAATCTCTATCTTTTTAAAAAAGGATTAATTTAAATATTCCCATTGAATATTACTTATATGTAATATGGAATTACTTACGTTGTTCTTCTAAAGTCTTTTTGAAGTGTGGGGTATTCTGGCATCTTTCTAATATCTTCCCAGTCTTTATCTTACAAAAAAATATTGAATATTGTTATAGGAAATAGTGTTACTTATCAAAAATCTAGTTATTTTAGCTTAAAAATATATATTAAAAATACTAAATATACATTAAAATATGCTTTTCAAAAAGAATGTTTTTGAAATATGACTCATTATTTTGAAATAAATAAATAAATTACCTGCAGGAAACCCCATGACACTAAATATCCGATCCAGTTGATCATGATGAAAGGGATTGCTTGTTTTTATATCTTCCTGACGACAGTGAAAAATAGGTTCTGAAGTCAACAATTCAGCAAATATGCAACCTATTGCCCATATGTCTATAAAGGAAGAAAAACAAGTTTTTGCACACATTTATTATATTTCTTTGGTTATAATTTCTGGGTATAATCACAACCTACATATAAAAATACTTTTGGGGGTAGGGGGATGGACGAAATAGGTAAAAGGGATTAAGAGGTACAAACTTCCAGCTATAAAAAAGTCAGAGGGATGTAATGTACACATAGGGAATACAGTCAATGATACTGTAACAACTTTGTATGGTGACAGATGGTAACTGGACTTATTGTGGTGATTATTTTATAATGTATAAAAATATCAAATCACTATGTTGTACATGTTAAACTAATATAACATTGTATATCAAGTAAAACTTTTATAAAGAATCCCCAAAATTAAAAAAAATCTTTTAAACTTTTCAGTGAAGCAATACACAAAATACAATAAGTATATTAAGAAAACATATATCTCACATGAAATAGCTGTATCATCACATAACATACTGAAAGCCAAATAAAATACATTTTCTTGTAAATGTCCTGATCAAGATAAGCTTGGGAAACTCAATTTAGCAAGCAATGAATTTACATTTAGGCAAAAGCCTTTCAAACCACTATTAATAATTTAATCGCCAAAGGATTCAACTGATAACCTACTACAAGGCATAATACTCAAGATCTGACAGACTGAAATAATATCATCATCAGGTGCGGTGATACATTTCTTTAAAGCAACCAAATGCATAATGACAGAGCAGAATTTCTGAGCTGTCAGTCTAGACAGGCAGTACAGATCACACAAGATGATTTGGAAAAACTCAACTTTTGTCTGAAAGACACCAACTTCAGTTTTTTCAACAAACAGTGAGCTCTACAAGCTGATAAATACAAGTATATATAGACACTGCACGACACGAGTAGAGACAGATGTGATCCGAACATATTCACTTAGATGGTGCCCCAACTCTCCAATGTGCCAAGATAAAATTAGGCATCTTTCAAAGTTTTATTAACTATTTCAAATAACCAGTTATGGATTATTCTATTTGGATTTTATACATTGAAAGACTATAATATAGTTTTAATTTAGATTCTAAGAGTATAATGTTATATTCACAATGTTTTGCCAAATGTACATGTGAATTTTTGTAAGATGTATGTTCATACTTGCCCACTTAAATGCTGTTTAGTAAGTATTTTTTTAAGTATTTTATTTTTTTAAATAAATGCTGTTTAATAAGTATTTTTTTAAAAAAACAACACACAGGACTCCCCTGGTGGCACGGTGGCTAAGAATCCACCTGCCACTGCAGGGGACACGGGTTCGATCCCTGGTCCGGGAAGATCCCACATGCCGCGGAGCAACTAAGCCCATGCACCACAACTACTGAGCCTGCGCTCTGGAGCCCGTGAGCCACAACTACGGAGCCCACGTGCCATAACTACTGACGCTCATGCGCCTAGAGCCCGTGCTCCGCAACAAGACAAGCCACCACAATGAGAAGCCCTCGTGCCACAACGAAGAGTAGCCCCCGCTCGCCAGAACTAGAGAAAGCCTGCGAGCAGCAACAAAGACCCAATGCAGCCATAAATAAATAAATAAATAAATTTATTTATTTATTTAAAAAAAAGAATGAGTGAATGTGTGTGTATTTATTACGTCTGCTATGAATACATTTCAAGCCTAAAGATAACTAATGTGGGGATTACTCTTTTTCTATGTCTTAGCTTTTTTCTTAACTTCTATCCAGAATAAGTAATTGGGACTTGACTAAAATTAGAGATTAGCAATTATGTTTTTATCTTTAATTCGTAAATCTTATTTTTACTGAGCAAGTAAGTCGCAAACTGGTTAAAATTCAATTTCAGTTCTCTTTACCCTGAGGAAATAAGAAATATAGTTGGTTTCCAATTCATACCCAATTACCTTTATTTCCAAAAAAACACATCTATTTTTTATTCCAACAGTAGAGCAGTTAATCAGAAAATATTCATAAAACTATGCTTCTGAAAGTGTGGGGACCACATACAACAGAATCACCAGTGGTACCTGTTAAACAGAGGCCTCACTACCATGGGTTTGCTAAGAATCTCAGAGTGAGACAGATTTTGGTGGGGCATCATTTAGTTTAACAAAGTTTTTGGCTGAACCTGCCTTTTCTTACTGGAAATCTCCCTTCTAGACATAGACTGAATAGTGCTTGGTAAGTGCCCAATGCACATGGGTGTCTGCTGTTGTCACATCCTGTACTCCCACCCTATGCCCTGGGTTATCTCACCATCAGTCCTGTTCTAAGGCACCACCTGTTGCTTCCAACTGACACTCCCCTTCTCTCTGGCTTACATTTGGTTTCTTCCTATCCTCTGGTACCTTCTGAGATTGTCTAGATTTTACTGTTCTCAGTAGAGAGACCTAATAACAGAAAAAGCAAACATAATTCTAAATGTCTCAAAAATATAGCCCCTCAGTAAAAGTCATTCATTGGAATGTAAATAGAGTCAGGGTCTGATTTTCACTCCTCATTCTAAGGACCGCTCCATCCCTTCCATTTGCTTTTTGTAGTTCTCCTTCATTCAAAGACAGCTGCCACTGTCCTTGGCAGACAGAGTGGCAGCCTCTGGTAAGGGGCCTTATTACTATAAGCTCAACTGCCAGGGGACAGGTCTAAGGTCAGTCTCACACTCCTCTACTATCAAACACAAACTGGTTTTCCTCACAGTGCTGTGGCTACTCATAGCCTTTTTCACTAATTTAACAAAACCCTTTAGCAGTATTTATGAAGAATTATAATATTCCACACTGTGCTAGTGTCTCAATCCCTAGACAAAGGAAGTATAAATGTGTTCTGGGTATCTAAGTTTTGCAGAAATCAGGCCTCCTGACGAATGAGGACATTGCTATATTTTAATTTTTGTTTCCCTTTTTACCCATGAATAGGTTAATTATGAGTCTAATCTTTTCAAACGTGAGAACTTCATTTATAGTTCTTTGGCTGCCAGCAGGTTTTTCATAAGCTTAACAGAAAAAGGATTGAGCTGACTTGTCTATTTTTAATAATTTTATAGCTTAAGTGCATTTATCAAATAGAACTCAACAAAAGCAGCTAAATGTAGTCAAAACAGATATTAGTCTAATACAAGTAAACAGAAAATTCAAGAAAAGGAAAATTTAAAGAAACACACTTATAGCAAATTTAAGTACCTTACAGAACTAGCCCTTCACATTAACAGTACTATTTACTCCCTCCCTACCCTCTCTTTTTACCTCCTTTAAAGCAATATCTAGGTCTGAGGACAGCTCTCTCTTCCTGACTCCCTCAATTAGCAGCTGGGACCTCTGAGGACACTGTAATGACAGGTAGCAAAATCTCTGATGCCTCTGTTCTGAAGGAGACTTAAAATTTTACAGAGTATGTTTATAACAGGTTTTCTTACTCAGTCTTTTCACTTGGTGAGATGGCAAGATGCTGAGCACAGCTAATCTACCCAGGCTCTATTTCCTACCTTAATGGAGAAACTGCCATTCTGAAAACTGTAATGGCAAGAGAGAAAGATTAGTCATATTGTTTCTTGCTTAGGAAAGGACTGACTGACTTAACTTTTCCCCAAATAGAAGGGGCTCTCTCCAATAACTACACTACTCCCGCTTTTCTGTTTTTTTCTTTTTGTGAAGAAAACAAGTCTAAACCTCTCTCCAGTTCTTCTGATTGATAGTAAGTAAAAAATAACATTTGCATGTTATCGTTTCTATAGCAACTCAACAAGATCAGATACTTCTATCCTCTGAAAGAAAATGATTTCTTTTTTTAAAGGAATCATATTCTCCTATACAGTTAAAAATCCAAATCTACCAGATTACAAAATCTGGGAATATAAACAACAGGACTTTTACAAAGAAATTTAAAGTGGTTTTTACAAAGCAGCTTTACCATTTAGTATACCATTAGTATTTAGTATACCATTTAGTATTTATGATAATGCAATATCATATGATAATGATATGATAATATAATACTTACCAACTATAAGTAAATCATTTTAGACTAACTTACCAATGGCCTTTGTATAATGCCTTGCACCAAGCAAAAGTTCTGGAGCCCGATACCAAAAAGTCACAACTACTGGATCCAAATCTGCTAGTGGCTTTAGAGGAGAATTGAATAATCTGGCAAAACCCATGTCAGCTAAAAAATAAAATAATAAGAAATCAGGTTGGCATGCTCTTATAACCATGCAAGGTTGATGACAATAGCCACTAACCTTATAAAGCAATCCTTTTTCCTCTCTTTTCAACCAGTGGTCTGTACCAGGCACCAAATCTCCCCTTCTGAGGTAGATACTATTATTGTGCCTATTTTACTGATGAAGAAACTGAGGCTTAGAGATATTCTGACTTGTCCAAGGTCATAGAACTAGTAACTACAGAGTCAGAATTAGAATCCAGGTCCGACTTCAGATTCCTGGCTTTCAGAGACAGAATAATATTCTTAAATATTTTTAAAATAGAAAATAGTCTAAAAGTTTCCATGATTGATTATGACTTCTGTATGCCTATATATCGAAAAAACCTGACTATACCTTAGTTCAGTGTGTGCTAGAGTTGGTTGGCTCTCATGGACCCAGCAGAGCCAATTCATACACATCTTTTGAACTCAGTGTTTAGTAACGTCATGTTTGTGGCTTGAAACTGGCTATGGTGGGAGTATTTACATCATGGAAAACAGCAAATGCTACAAATTGGGGTTTTTCCCCCCCAGAGAGCCAGAGCCAGTTGTTGTATAGTTACCAGCACATCACATACATGTTTCCAAGAACACAGATAGAACACATAAGAGAGAACGTTATAATTCAGCATTTAACAAAGGTCTATACCAAAGATAACTAAAATATTAGAGGTACACAAAAGTAGTAAAAAGACTATTACTATAATAAGGTGCTGGTGACTAATTTTCTTAAGATTTCCTAAAGAATAAATACCTTATACCTATAAAGCACTTCAGAGTTTACAAATGATTTTCACATACATCATACATCACTTCGTCTAATCCTCATAAGAATGCTGGTTTAATAAGTACTGCCCTTGCCACACTTCTGTGATGAAGAATCTAAGGCCCAAAGCAGTTCAATGACTTGCCCAAAGTCACAGGGATAGGAAGTGAAAATGCCAGTACAAACAAAAAGCATGTTATAATTTAGCAGCTACATTCTTAACCATGGAACTGATATCCAATAGATTACACATATGATAACTGCATGTCACAAAGGCAAAAATCACAAAAATGATAAACCTCTATAATATGAAACATATAATATACACAGTATATTTTGATTGTATAAGGGTCCCTAGTGTACTATACAATGCACAAATAGTACACTAAAGTTTCAACTACAGAGTATCATTTAGTCTAAAACCAATATACTATGATATACATTAAATTTTTAATTTACAGTGATTTTGTTTCTTTAGAGTTTGAATAATTTACAAGACTTTCTGAGAATGCTTTGGAGGACCCAGATCTTAAAAAATAAAGCTACCCAAGGATGCCTATGCTGATGCCTACACTTTCTTAAGCAAATTTCCCTATAGCAAACGCAAATATTCAAAATCATTCTACCAATATTACACCTACCTCAAAGCACTGCTCTATATATTTAGTAGATGCTGATTCTTGTTGATGGCAAAGTAATATGATGGAATACTCTTTCATACATTGAAAAGCATGCTATTTTTAAGTAAAGGCTAAAGCCAGTATTTCTCCCCTTATTCTCCACCTTCTAAGTTTCATATAAGCCACATCTATTCACTGAAAAATGAAATCAAGGCCAGACAAAACAATAAATATTCTTAAGAACAATTCCCATCTATTGTATGAACTTTAAAGGAGTTTCAAACCATTTTTCAAATAATTACTAATTCAGACAAAAGGTAATTAGCCTAAACATTCCTAACACCTATTTTCCTAAAGTTAGATATGAGTGAAATTGTTTAATTCAACAGACAGGGGTAGTAAAATTCTGGTGTGGGTGCTAATTAGACAGTATCAAACGATAGAAAAGCAGCAGAAGGCAATGTGTACTGCCAAGGAGCTTACATGAAGGTGAGATGACAAAATACATGGAGTAGATAAAAATAAAAAGGATAAGTACTGTAGGACTAAAGGAGAGTTGCTGCTGGTTTCTACTAGACTTGAAGTCCCTTGAGGGAAGGGGTTATGTCTCCTTCACAGTTTTATCTGGGACAATGTCTGATAAACATTTGTAGGAGTGGACTAAATCGAGAGTGGAACTTGAGCTGGATTCTGAAGGATGGATCACTGTGAACAGTAAAGGCGGCGATGAGCATTTTAGGTAAGGCCTGGAAGGCTTCAGGTTCCTGGGGAGGGGAAGCCTCAGATACTGGGAAGGGCACAGTATGTTTTCCATTTGACTATGCTTTCTTTCCCTTTCAGTCAAAAAAGAACTGTTATAAAGTGTGAAGCATAGACCTCAGAGCATTACTGATTTTTTTAAAAAAATAATGTGCTATTAAAACAAAATTTAAAAACAATTTAATAAACTAGATTAATTGTTCACTAGACCTTTAATACCAATCATTGCTTACTTTTAACCCTGATTTTATCTTTAATCTTGGATAGAATTATAATCCTAAAACTCTTAACAATAAGGCAATTAACTGGCCTGGCTACAATACAGAATTTATGTTGAGGAGTAGTAGGGCTATTTGGGAGAATAAGAAGACATTAAGTTTGGTGACTGGCATAAATGTGACGACTGGTACAGCATGGGAAAGTATAAGATGATGATGATGAATTTGGTTTGGAATTAATGCAATATAGGTTGCCAGCAGAACATCCAAATAGAGAGAAACATTTCATCTAGGGTGAGAGAATAGAATCTGAGATGCAGATCTTAGAATCATTTTCATAGAATCCAAGCTTTTGAGGCCACAACTTATCAATTCCCTAAAGAAGTCATTGTGGAGGGAGGCCATGTCCCAAGCCAGTGCCTAGGCTGTCTTGAAACAAAAGGGTAATAGGAATAAGAGGCAAAAATGAATAAATACAGAAGTAACAGCAAAAGTAGTAGATAGAAAAATAGAATTACATGATGTCATATAGACCAAAGGAAAAGACGGTCACAAGGCCAGACTAGCCAGAAGAACAAATAACAAGACAGTAAAGGAAAACGACAACTAAACACAGGCCACTAGATTTGGTAAGACAGAGATCATAGATGGCCTTTTAGAGAGCAGTTTCAATAGAGGGGCAGAATTAAGACGTCAGATAATAACAAATTAGGGTAAGTGAAAACAATACGTAAACATCATGTATTTTAGAAGTAGAGGAACAAGGTGAAAAACTGAACAAATTGTAAAGAAAACAAAATGAATATGAGAAAATTTATGTTAAACTGGGGTGAAGACTATGGAGAACAGTATGGAGGTTCCTTAAAAAACTAAAACTAGAACTACCATATGACCCAGCAATCCCACTACTAGGCATATACCCTGAGAAAACCAGAATTCAAAAAGAGTCATGTACTACAGTGTTCATTGCAGCACTATTTACAATAGCCAGGACATGGAAGCAACCTAAGTGTCCATCGAAAGATGAATGTATAAAGAAGATGTGGCACATATATACAATGGAATATTACTCAGCCATAAAAAGAAATGAAATTGAGTTATTTGTAGTGAGGTGGATGGACCCAGAGACTGTCATATAGAGTGATGTAAGTCAGAAAAACAAATACTGTACGCTAACATATATATATAGAATCTAAAAAAAAAAAGGTTCCGAAGAACCTAGGGGCAGGACAGGAATAAAGACGCAGACGTAGAGAATGGACTTGAGGACAGGAGGAGGGGGAAGGGTAAGCTGGGACGAAGTGAGAGAGTAGCACTGACACACACACTACCAAATGTAAAATAGCTAGCTAGTGGGAAGCAGCTGCATAGCACAGGGAGATCAGCTCGGTGCTTTGTGACCACCTAGAGGGGTGGGATAGGGAGGGTGGGAGGGGATGCAAGAGGGAGGGGATATGGGAATATATGTACACGTATAGCTGATTCACTTTGTTATACAGCAGAAACTAACACAACGATGTGAAGCAATTATACTCCAATAAAGATGTTAGAAAAAATTGGGGTGAGGATTATGAATGTTTAAAGGTGAAGAGGAGAAACTTGAGAAGGAGAGAATGGAGATACTGTAATAAGAAGGGCTCAAGTACAGCAGGAAGATATTTAGAAGCTAGGAAGGACATCAGATAGGACTTAGGAGAAAGAGACACTCTT